CGAAAAGAGGACATGATCAGCGTTAGGAAAACACGAACGATGATTTTAGAAGACGCCGAGAGAAGTAATTACCTTCGTCGCTTAAATGAAAGTACGCGCGGACGGCGTCTAAATCTGAAGGATTGGAGAGATTTAGGATTAGGCCGGTAGCGCGAAGATTCTCCTTGGTCAGAAGCGTGTCAATATGGCGAACCTCTAACGGATAGGAAAAAGCCTGCTCGACCCTCGCCAAACTATTACCGGAGAACTTCAGCCGATCCTGATTAACTGAAGGACAAGGGAATCCTCGTCAACATATGAAAAAAGAGCAAAGTCAGATAAAAAGAAAGTTGAGATGCTTACTCATATTTCCAAACGCCGCCTGCACCTGCCTTCGGCGGGGCCGGCGGTCATTAGGATGAAAGTTGAAAGGCCCGCGGATCATGAAGAACATGGGTTTCCACCCATGTGACGACGAGGGAATGCCCAGAACGAGCTTCCCAAACCTGGGCTGAGCTCTCCCGTGGCCACTCAGAAAGTACCACCCGTCACACTTGGCGACATGGCACAACTTATACATGAATCGGAACTCATCCAATGGGAGTTCCATGTCAAACTTCTGGTGCCATAGAATCCAAGCTCCTGCAAAGCAGTACCAGAAGTTCGGCGCCAGTTGGGCGGGGGAGATGCCATAAAAATGGCAGTAATCTTTTACGAAGGGATGAACTGGGAGTGTCATCCCCGCGGTTACCGCTCTTGTATAGACCGGAAGGTATCCGGTCGGCGGCATGCTAGTTCTAAAATGCATGTCCGGAAGGAGGTACTCGAACCACCTCCCGTCGATGCATCCCTCCTTCACAGCCCAAATGATATCTTTGTTTCGGACCCTCGATGCCACACCATCGGCCGTGAAGGAAGGCCTATCTGGGTCACCGCTCGTGGCAGCCAGGGGGGCATCCACCATCGCGACAGCTACCCCACTTACGTTGCCCCCGGTAAAGGGGATTCGCTCGACTACCTCGTCTACCAACCGGTCGACGCTTCCGAATTCACTTCCGAAGTCGTCGCCCGACTCGTAACTTCCCTCGACGTCTTCAATATCCCTAAGCATAGAGCTGACACCGGAGGATGAAGAAGTCCATGAGATCTCCACCACCAGAGGGGGGTCAGAACGGACGACATGAGAAGAATCCTCTCGACTGGGTGAACTTTGGGCCATTATTCTGGTAATTAAAAGGACAAGAAGCTAAGTTAAAACCCTAACGTCGAGAGGAAGAAACGACGACTACTCTAAACGACGACTGCTCAAACACCTCGACTTGGCGTCGACCATTCATATGAGAACGGTAACGACGAGTGTTCATAGGAATCACGGGTTCCCCGGAACCCAGAAACCAAAGGCACACAGACAATAGAAAATGCATGGAAACCAGGTCATCCAGTGCGACAGAATACAACGAAGTAAGTCTCCTTAACTTTTATATTCTCATTTTGTGCATAAAAATTTATATATTCCAGATACACAACGGGGGGAGCCCCGTGAGTATGCACAGCAAGAGAAGATCCAGAAACTTACCGGTGAAGAAGGATTTCCGGGACGGCTTCGTAATATACCACAGAGAGTAAGAAGGGTAAAGTCGGAAGTTCAACAAAGGAGGTTTCGGCTAAATGCAGTGGTTCAATGGGAGCGTGACAAAAGTTTGAAGTTTTGGAGAAGGAAAAAATGGCTCTCAGGTTCATGAAGAGTATTATAAAAGAACGGCGCCCTCGACCCCCCAACCGTTGGATGAAAACTTCAAAAATCCTACGGCAAGGGATCACTGTCCGGATCTGACGGTGATGGAGAAGGGCGGGAAACCGAGAGGACGTAAATTTGACGGTCTGTATTCATCTTCTCAGAACACGGATATAAATCATTATGATAGGCCAATCGACGCGACGGTTGCGTCTCTGAAGCACCCAGGCCATCATTGCAGACGAAGGCTCGGGACCGGTTTCCCACACCCGAAGCACGAAAGGACAACCGAACCTGGAGCTCGAGGCCGCCCAATAAAAAAAAGGAAAAAGGGAGCCCTCGACCTGGGGGTAGCTGTTGTGTGGGAAAATGTGATGGACACCTAGATCAACGACACCACGACACGTGGCCATAACTGCTCTCTGCCAGGCACACAACCCTCGGCGCCCACATTTTCTTCCTAATTAGCTGCAAAGCCCAAAGTTAAAGTCCGGATTAGGGCGACGACCCCTTGTGGTGCCGATGGATAGTGCCGCTTGAATTAAGGTATGGATATTCCTCGGCTACAGAAAGGACCGCCAGAGAAGACGACTGGGGCTAAATGGCGCTGGCGACGAGGGGAACGTTCCTTTGAGACATGACGGGTTGCGTGCATAAGTGGAAGACGTCTGTCAGCATTAATTATAAATTCTCAAACCGCCCCACAGGGAACAGAAATGCATTACGGAGAATCACAGAGCCGTAACAGAAGACTAATTGGCTGAGTGAACAGTGCTGATTAGTGGGCTACATCTGGGCCTACCAAGGTAGAGCACTTGAGTGTTTCCACCGATCAAAGAAAACCATTGGGTGAAGGAAGCCCAGTATAAGAGGATGAAGACCCCCACCGAGAGAGGGGTCAGAGAATAAAAAACACAAGAGAAAAAGGGAGAGTGATAACTTGTAAATGGTTGCCCTCTCAAAAGAAAAATACAAAACTTACAGTGGATGTAGCTCTAATTTTAAAGAGTGAACCACTACAAAATTCCTTTTGTTCGTTTACATACAGCTCATTTAACAAACAAATACTCACATCCAACAAGTATCTACTCTTTCACTAAACACATAAGCCGGTAACCCGAAGGGAAACCTCAAGGTAAGACGGCCGGTTTTTTGTTGACGAAATTCAACCGTCAACATCAAATATCAACTCGAATTAGAGAACTAAACATACCCTGAAACTATTATAGAATATACTACACATAATCACTCCTACTTCTTCATATTTGCAATGGCAAGGAAAAACTATGGTTTCGTTTGAAGGATTTCCTGGGTCGCCCCCCCCCAGCCATGGGTGGGGAGAGGGGGAAGGAGCGATGAGGGGATCACAGAAATGGGATTATACAACCGTATGAAGTTTGGTGGATTAGCAAGGAGTTTTTCATCGTCGCCGAGGGGGATGGATTCTCTATTGTTCGTCACATTAGCATCGACCCCAAGTATTAAGAGGGGATTGCGACCCCCCGCCGTGATTGCAATCATCCGCCACGATGAGGAGTTAAAATTTAATAAAAGTACTTAAAATCTGGTGAGATCCATTCCAAGAGTGACACTTCAACAATTAGGACCCAACACAACAATTAAGACCCAACATAAATCATAATAGAGAAGACCGTTGCATTTTACGATATGGATAATGAAAAAGAAGATCACAACACTGTAGCATTTTCTCTTCTTTTTTTCGTTAGACATATTTTTTAGTTGAAGGGAGAAGGGGAAAAAAAAAAGGAATTGATCATATAGATATAGAAAAATCTACAATGATCTTGACAGAAAAAGAAAAGAATAGCAAGTAAATTAATGATTAAGGACATATAGAAATCGCTACAAGAAAAGAGAGCATTGAAGGATATCTCTTCCTTTCTATTACAAGATAAGCGTCTTCATTACCTTGCATTGAATTTATAATTGCAGTTTTCATTTGTACATTAATCAATTGAAAACAAAGAAATGCTTGTGAACTATAATACTTTGTCAAACAAACATATATTTTAAAGGTAGTTCTTTTCACACTCCTATTTTTATTTTCTACATACTCTTTTAATTATACACCCCTCATAATTTTTAAATGATTAAATTTTCTTTTTACACACTTTTATTATTCTAAAACTACCCCTAACTATTTTTATAAAATTATTAAGAATAGTTTTATTTACACCCATTTCTTTTTCTCTACACACCCACCTCTGTACTCTTTACACACTTTCTAATTACACGCCCCACATAAATAAATTTATCACTTTAATATTATATTTTATTTATATCTTTTTTTTTAAACTTTAGCAAAAAAAAAAAAAGTTTTTTTAAGTCCAATATTACTCTTTACACACTTTCTAATTACACGCCCCACATAAATAAATTTATCACTTTAATATTATATTTTATTTATATCTTTTTTTTTTAAACTTTAGCAAAAAAAAAAAAAGTTTTTTTAAGTCCAATAGTGAAACAAAAAACAAAAAATAAAAATGAAAAATAAAAAAATGTAAACTGAATGTATTATATTCGAGTCAGCATTAAAAAAAAAAAAGACCGTGACATTATATAAAATGGAAAAAAGTGAAATGATTTGTTTAAAAGATTGATTAGAAAACAAATATAAACACAAATCTTCATAAAATTGAACTACCTCCATGTAATTTTTTAGAATAGTCATTAAAAACGTGAAAATTATTTGCAATGGATTAATTTAGAATATGATATGCAGTTTGTGAGGAGAAAAAATATACTCTATTAGTTTTCTTTTGTAATAAAATTAATTATATAATTAATTTTATTATCTTTTTTTGTCATTTTATTTAAGGATTTTTTTTGTTGTAAATAGAATCACCCATATTTTAATAATGATGAAATGATTGCAATATTATTTTACACATTTAGGCAGTGAGAAACGCCTACCATCTAAGTCGCTTAAGGCATGTTCTTTTGTCTAAAAAACTTAAAAAAAGACAACTTAAGTTTTAACATTTTACTTAATTTTATTCAAGTTTTAACTTCAACTCAAGTTATAACTTAAATTTAACTAAAAAATTACACTCAAATTACACTCCAAAAAAATAACCCCTTAAACTTTCAAAATTTCATTTTAATCTGCAGGTTATAAGCATTTTTTTTTAGACAGAATTTTTGGGGGTAAATGAAAAAGAGATGGATTGAGCCTAGTTTAGATATTTTTTAATTACTGGTGGCGATTATAATATTTCCCTTTTTATACCCCCGTGAATGCTTAAACAGGGTTTTACACATTTCCCACTTTCACTGTTAGCAAATCAAAGCACCAAGCTTGCACAAACATGGACGTTGGCGACCAACTATGCGAGGCGGCGAAGAACGGCGACGCCGGAAAAGTGAAAGCTTTAATCGAGTCCGGCGCTGACGTTTCGCACTTCGATGGCGAAGGCCTCACTCCGCTCATGCACGCCGCCAAGCACGGCCACGCCGACGTCGTCAAGAAGCTTCTCGAAGCTGGTGCTCCCTGGAACGCCCTCTCTCCTTCCAATCTCTCCGCCGGAGATTTCGCCATGGACGCCGGCCACCAGGAGGCCTTCGATATCCTTCTCAACGCCGGTACCTTCTCACTCTCCCTCATTTTTTTATATATATCTTTATTTTTGTTCTAAGATTACTGTTGGAGAACAAAATTAATTTATTTTGGATTTCTATTACCACAATTTTTGTGACTTGTGAATGATGCCACATTTGATAACAATAGATGAAAATGATTCTCTTGACTTTCACTCCAATGACTGTTTGTATAAATTTGCTTAAAGTTTCTTCCCCAATCATTTCTTGTAATTATGTATGGTTTTTCAATTATACCTATTCCTGAAAATTAGTTTGAATCCGTGTACTATTCTTGATAGAATTTCGTACTTGAATAGGGATTCAAGCTGAGTTGGTATTGGGAACCATTGCAAGGAAAGATAATAAGATAGGTGATTGCAATGGGGATTACTTGGAGGATAGGGTTAGCTTCAGTGAGGATAAGCTTATGGACGCAGAGAGCAAGGCTGTTATGATGGCTTGGGAGAAACCGTTGATGGAGGCTCATGCTAAAGCTGTTTGCTCAGGAGGCGGTCACATACTCAACATTGGATTTGGAATGGGACTTGTGGATACAGCCATTCAGCAATATGCACCGGCTTCACACACCATTGTCGAGGCTCATCCGGAGGTTTACGAACGTATGATTCGAACCGGTTGGGCAGAGAAGGATAATGTGAAGATAATATTTGGCCGTTGGCAAGACGTACTACCGCAACTTGAGTTGTATGACGGTGGGTCAAACTCGAGATTAGTACTTGCTCTTTTGTTTTGTTGTAGTAATAGCTCTTTTTGACGTATTTTTGCTTTATGTTTCAGGTATTTTCTTTGACACCTATGGTGAGTATTATGAGGACCTAAGGGAGTTCCATCAATATCTTCCTGCGCTGCTGAAACCTGAGGGAATCTACTCATTTTTCAATGGCCTTTGTGGTGGTAATCCTTTCTTTCATGTTGTTTACTGTCAGTTAGTGTCCCTCGAACTCGAGAATTTAGGGTACTCGACTCAATTAATCCCCCTGCCTGTCAAGAATTGTTTGGGAGAAGAAGTTTGGGAAGGCGTGAAACACAAATATTGGCAACTTGATACATATTACCTCCCCGTTTGTCAGTCTATACAGGATTCTGAGTGATAATTCAGCTTTTAATTACTTTTCGTTTGTTCGTTTCCAAAGTGTTCTCAGCTGATTAGCACCTTAATATTTGCATCATGTTTGAGTTTACAGGAATAGGATGATATGATTAATGTTTCTTTCTCTCTCCTTTTGCCTTTTCCTTTTCTTTCTGATTGCTGAGCAGAGCTTACAATAGCTTATTGAAACTTAAGATCATGTTCATGTAGTGAACCAGGGTCATGCATCTGATTATTTATTAATGATTTTTTGCGATGAAAACAAGAAAAGGTGTAGAAAGATAGGATTTTTCTGTTATGTTTCTTAAGTTTAAACCGGTTGTTATCTATTAGGAATACTTATCATTTAGGAGTACTTATCAATTCCTATATTGGTGGGATATTAGTTAAAGGGATAAAGATAAGAGTCTAGGGTTGGTCTATTTATAGTTTTCGGTTGTATATTTATGAGAAAATAAGAAAAACTATTTTCCCTCATTCCTGCGTTCATTCATGGTATCAGAGCCTAGGCTCTTCCGTGGGAATTTTTAATGGCTAAAACGGCCATGACAGGGGCATATAACTCTGCGTCCTCAGGAACCACTGATGGCAGTACCTCAACAAATTCTGCCATAACCATACATGGATTAGAGAATCCATCTCTTCAATTAACCGTTCAATGTGAACGGTAAAAATTATTTGGAATGGGCACAGTCGATTAAACTGATGATTGACGGCAAGGGTAAACTCGGCCATCTAACGGGAGAAACGAAGAAACTTAGAGATGATGATCCAGCCTTTAAGACATGGAGATCTGAGAATTCTTTGGTGATTGCGTGGCTCGTTAATTCCATGGAATCAGCCATTGGAAAAGTTTTTTTATTTTTACCAACAGAAAAAGCGGTTTGGGATGCTGTTCGGGAGACCTACTCAGATGTGGAGAATTCATCTCAGATTTTTGAATTAAAAACAAAACTATGGCTGTCTAAATAGGGCGATCGAGATGTGATGGAATATTACAATGAGAAGACAGCTTTGTGGCAGGAACTAGACTTGTGCTATGATGAGGAATGGGACTGTGCGAAGGATAGTGTGAGATATTTGAAGAGAATGGAGAATGATAGAGTGTATATGTTCTTGGGAGGATTAAACAAGAACCTAGATGAAGTTAGAGGTCGTATTCTTGGCAGAAGACCCCTGCCATCTCTCCGTGAAGTGTTTTCTGAAGTTCGAAGAGAAGAGATGCGGAGGAAGACGATGATGGGAGAAGGCAATAAACAATCAGACACAGAAGCTTCTGCTCTAGCAGCAAGAAACAGTCAGTCCACACAACCGGGTGGACAAAACAGAAGGGGAGAAAAAATATGGTGTGATCATTGCCATAAACCGCGACATACGAGAGACACATGCTGGGAACTACATGGAAAGCCATCAAACTGGAAACCAAAATCATTCGGGCAGCCCAACTGTGACTCAAGAGCGTTTCAGGCAGGTACTGAGGAGAAAAACACACTTGGGGGAACCTCAGAAACTCCTTTGTTCAGTAAGGAACAATTAGAACAACTGTACAAACTTTTACAATCCACACAATTTTGAAACAATGTGTCATCCTCCTGTTCTTTAGTCCAAAAAGGTAATTATCGTCAAGCTCTTACCTTGAGTGTGTCCCCTATTTTGGATTGTCCATGGATCATTGACTCGGGGGCAACTGATCCCATGACGGGATGTTCTAAACTGTTTTCTACCTATAGTCCGTGTGCAGGGAATCAGAAAATTAAAATAGCCGATGGTTCTCTTTCAGCCATCGCTGGAAAAGGATCAATAACTATTTCGAAATCCCTTATTCTCCATAATGTTCTTCATGTTCCTAATCTCTCGTGTAATTTGTTATCCATTAGTAAATTAACTCGTGACCTAAAGTGTTATGCTAAATTCCTTTCAACTCACTGTGAATTTCAGGAAATGGACTTGGGGAGGATGATTGGCAGTGCTAAGGAAAATGGTGGACTCTATTACTTTGCGGATGGAAGTGACTCATGCGGACAAGCTCAGTTTTCTAGTCTTGAATCATTATCTATCTCTAGGAATGATGAAATAATATTATGGCACTATAGGTTAGGCCATCCCAACTTTCAATATTTGAAGTACTTATTTCCTAATTTATTCAAAAATAAAACTGCATTATCTTTTCAATGTGATATTTGTCAAATTGCTAAGCATCACCGTGCATCTTTTCCTGCCCAGCCATATAAGTCATCTAAACCCTTTGCACTTATTCATAGTGACATTTGGGGACCGTATAGGATCCCAACAATTTTTGGAAAAAAATGGTTTCTAACTCTAATTGATGATCATACTCGTGTTTCTTGGGTTTGTCTACTTAAAGAAAAATCAGAAACTGAGCAAGTTTTCAAAAATTTTTGCAACATGGTGGAAACACAATTTCAAGAAAAAATTCAAGTGTTTAGGAGTGACAATGGAAGAGAGTATTTCAGTAAAATTTTGGGGACATTTTTTTTCCGAAAAAGGGATTATTCATCACAGCTCTTGTATAGATACTCCACAGCAAAATGGAGTGGCAGAACGAAAAAATAAGCATCTCCTAGAAGTTGCTAGGACCTTAATGTTTACAACTAAGGTTCCTAAATACCTATGGGGTGAAGCTATTCTCACTGCCACCTATTTAATTAATAGAATGCCTTCAAGAGTTTTAAACTTTAAAGCACCTCTGGGAAAGTTTAAAGAGATCTTCCCTACATCACGAATCGTTTTTGATTTACCTCTTAAAATATTTGGATGTGTGGCCTTTGTGGATGTACATAATCATAATCGTGATAAATTGGATCCACATGCATTAAAGTGTGTTTTTCTTGGTTATGCACCAACACAAAAAGGTTACCGCTGTTTTGATCCTAAAACTAAAATTTTTTTTGTCACTATGGATGTAACATTTTTCGAATCCCAGAGTTCCTTTAATGTTCCTCTTCAGGGGGAGAATACCTATGAAGACTCACTGTTTGAAATTGAAAATGACAGCAATATTATTAAAAATGACAGCATCACTGTTACAATTAAACAGCCTGCCCTAGTGCCTAGCAATGAAGTTGTTACTACTAGAATAGATGATGACAAAAGGAATAAATTATTTGGGCTTGTCTACTCGAGAAAAAGAAAGATTCAAAGTAAAGATGACATCGGATCCTTACAAGGTCAAGAGTCCAATCCGAGTCCAGATCCTAATATCATGGAGCCTTTAAATCCAGGTAACACTTCTGAACTGTCATCTTCTCCTAAAACTGTTGTACCTGAAAACATCCCCATTGCTCTTAGAAAAGGTGTTAGGCAATGTACTGAACATCCTATTTCAAACCATGTGTCTTACAAAAATTTGTCACCTTCCTACTCCTTGTTTATCTCACAATTGTCAAGTGTGGATGTACCTAAGAATGTACAGGAAGCTCTAAGTGTTCTGGAATGGAAGAAGGCTGTTTTTGAGGAGATGGAGGCCCTAGAGAAGAATGGCACATGGGAGAAAGTAAGTTTACCTGAAGGAAAGACACCAGTAGGCTGCAAATGGGTCTTTACTGTGAAGTTTAACTCTGATGGAACTGTGGAGCGTTACAAGGCAAGATTGGCGGCTAAGGGGTTTACACAAACCTATGGGATTGACTATCAAGAGACATTTGCTCCCGTTGCAAAGCTAAACACAGTTCAGGTCCTACTCTGTATAGCTGCAAATTTAGATTGGCCTCTATACCAATTAGATGTTAAGAATGCATTTCTTAACGGGGAGTTAGAGCAAGAAGTGTTTATGGATGCTCCACCGGGATTTGAAGAAAGCTTTGGAAGGAATGTCTGCAAACTCCGAAGGTCTCTATATGGGCTTAAAACAATCTCCAAGGGCGTGGTTTGAAAGGTTCACCAGATTTATTAAGCAACTAGGCTATACTCAAGGACAAACAGATCACACTATGTTCGTGAAGCACACTAGTGGTGGTAAATTAGCAGTTTTGATTGTCTATGTTGATGATATAATTATTACCGGTAGCAATGAGACGGAAATCACCAGTTTAAATAAATGTCTTGCAACATAGTTTGAAATGAACGATTTGGGACCCTTACGGTATTTTCTGGGAATGGAAGTTGCTAGATCGAAGAAGGGGATCTGTGTATCTCAAAGGAAGTATATTCTGGACCTACTGGAAGAAACTGGGATGAGTGGATGTAGACCAAGTGACACACCTATGGATCCAAACCAAAAGTGAGGAGAAAAAACAGAGGGAGTGCCAACTAAGAAGGGGCGGTACCAACGTCTTGTAGGAAAGCTGATTTATCTTTCTCATACAAGACATGATATTGCGTTTGTAGTTAGCGTAGTTAGTCAGTTTATGCATTCACCATACGAGGAACATCTTGAAGCTGTCTATCGGATCCTAAGGTATCTAAAAGGGTCACCTGGAAGAGGCCTTTTGTTCAAAAAAAATGACCAGAGGAGTGTAGAAGCATTCACAGATGCGGACTGGGCATGATCTATCACAGACAGAAGATCAACATCAGGCTACTGTATGTTTCTTTGGGGCAATCTTGTTACTTAGAGAAGTAAGAAGCAAAATGTAGTAGCCCGAAGCAGTGCAGAAGCAGAGTTTAGAGCTATGGCTAATGGAATATGTGAACTATTATGGCTAAAAAGAGTGCTTGAAAAACTGAAACTGAAGTTAGAAGCTCCCATGAAATTGTTTTGTGATAACAAAGTCAGCAATAAGCATAGCCAACAACCTGGTTCAACATGATTGTACGAAGCATGTCAAGATTGATAGGCATTTTATCAAAGAAAAGTTGGAAAGTGGAGTTATCTGCATGCCTTTTGTTACCACTGAGCAACAGTTAGCTGATGTCCTAACCAAGAGTCTGTTTAGGTCAAAGTTTGATTTGTTAACAAGCAAGTTGGGCATATTTGATATCTATGCTCCAACTTGAGGGGGAGTGTAGAAAGATAGGATTTTTCTGTTATGTTTTTTAAGTTTAAACCGGTTGTTATCTATTAGGAATACTTATCATTTAGGAGTACTTATCAATTCCTATATTTGTGGGATATTTGTTAAAGGGATAAAGATAAGAGTCTAGGGTTGGTCTATTTATAGTTTTCGGCTGTACATTTATGAGAAAATAAGAAAAACTATTTTCCCTCATTCCTGCGTTCAAAAGGAAATACTTATCTGGATATATTTGAAATACATCTTGGAGATCAATTCTAATATTAAACATGTACCTGTACAATTATTGTTCTTTTTTTTTCTTTTTCTCAGATTTTTTTGTTTCAATCGTACAATAATAAATCTACCAGCTGACTTTATTGCTCAGCTGCTGGCACACAGGACAAACAAGACAAGTAGAATTAACATACTACGACTTAGGGTTGATTATGTTGGATATCATCTGTGTAGAGTCATCATACCACTTCCATTCCCTTTTGACTATGTCCAGCTAAAAGCAATAGGACTGCTGACAGCATGTTTCCCGTCTGACCATTCCAGACGAGCGAAGCTGGTCGTACCTGATGGCTGAGAATTAGCAGTGAATGTCACTGTGTATGTCTTCTTCTCATATGCCTCACTGAAACTCAATGATTCTGGTTGGACTGAAATTTTAACTGAGGGATCTGACGATATTGAGACCTTATATGTTGCCGGTTCACCAACATTTGTCAAAGTTCTTGTGTACTTCACGGTGCTTGATGCATCCGCACCACCCTCACTGCTTGATGCTGTTTCCAGAGGAACAGCAAAAGATGGGTAGTTAAAATCTCCAAGGCTGTACTTTTTCGTGTGGTCACACGTATAATCTCCCTTGGTTACTGTCTTTATCTGAGATGCACTATAATTCAAGGCACAGAAGAAGCTTATGTAGTCTTGAACAGTAGCATCGTAGACAAGGCCAGGTTCAAGGGCCGCCACTGGATCCACGTGTCCGGCTCCATAGTCAAATGGTGTTGCAGAACTTCCAGTAGAAATATCTGAGATGGTTTTACCGCCCTTATATGTCGAATAGGCAGTAGTCATGAGCGCCGACCTAATAGCTGCAGGGCTCCATTCCGGGTGGGCAGCTTTGAGGAGGGCTGCCAGTCCACTCACGTGAGGGCAAGACATTGATGTACCTGAGACAATGTTGAAGCTCACACGCCGGTTGTCTGTGTCTAAACCAGTTGGTCCTGCTCTACCGGTCCACCCAGCTAGTATGTTTACCCCTGGCGCTATCAGGTCCGGCTTGAGTATCTCTGGAGTAATTGGATTTGGCCCTCTAGAACTAAAAGCAGCTACCACTGGTGAGGGTTGAATTCCTAACTGTGTGCTGCCTTGAGTGATTGTGGCTGTTGGATTAGCATCTGAACGGAGATAAGTCTTTATCAAATTTCCAGTCCTTTGCCCAACAGTTACTGCGGGCAGGAGATGTGCATCAGCCACTAGTTCTTCTCCATAAGATTCTGTGTTGGACAAGATCATCCCAACACCACCAGCATCTTTTACCACTTGACCCTTCTGGGCCCTCGGGTTTCCCCCTCGATCACATACGACTAATTTCCCTGTGACCTTTGCAGAATCCAAACTGCCAGGCAGGCATAGATTCCCATTTGTCGAGTTATTTGCTGTACGACCATAAACAATTTGAACTAGCTCCTCAGATAAAGGCTTTCCACTGTAGAGCGAGACGCCTTTGTATTTCTGTCCATTCCCAAGACTAACATAAGCCGGGAAATCACGGTCTAATGTTCCGGCACCAACAGTGGTCAACCAAGGCGCAACATTTGATAAGCTGCCAGAGCCTGGTCCGCCATTTCCTGCTGAGACTGATACAACAATTCCATGAGCCACAGCTGCAAAGGTTCCAATGGCAACGGTGTCTCTGTAGTAATCATTTAGACCTCCCCCAATGGACAGGGATAGAACATCAACACCATCGTCTATAGCCTTATCTATCCCTGCTAATATATCGGAGCCGAAACATCCACCAAGCCAGCACACCTTGTATGTGGCTACTCTGGCTGTCGTAGCCATCCCACGTGCCGTCCCGGAAGCAAAGCCAAAGAGGCTAGCCTCCACGACCGTAGACCCAGCTGCGGTGGTTGAGGTGTGAGTTCCATGCCCGTCGTCATCTCTCGGCGATTTTGATTCCACTTTCTCGTCAATTGGTCCAAATGCTTCTTCATACCCTGCTGAGAAATACCTCGCGCCAATCAGTTTCATGTTGCAACTCGATGAGTTGAAGTTCTTGCCCACCTCGCACTCGCCTTTCCAGCTACTCGGCACCCGCCTGAGGCCTGCATCGTCGTAGCTCTTGCTCTCGGGCCAGACGCCAGTGTCCAACACTCCAACGATCACCTCGCTCAGTTTATCGGACGCGGGGAAGAGCGCGTCGCTCCTTCCTAGTCCGAGGAACTCCGGCGTCCGAGTTGTATGAAGCTCGTACCTGTTTTCTTGTAAAACAGAGAGAACACCTGGCTGCTGTTTAAGAAACTGTGCTTCTTTCTCGGTAAGGCTTGTGGAGAAGCCGTGGATGACGTTGTTATAGGTGTAGAGCATGTCTGCCGAGTCGGAGACCGATTTCAAAGAGGAGTCGTACCAGTTGAAATGGTTGTCGAAGGTTGCTGGCTTGTTGGACTTGTCCATGTGGATTATGTAAGTCCTTTTCTGCTGTGATTGTCTTCCATCTGCTGCCACATGCAATTGGCAGATGCTCAGAAGCACAGCTGATAATTGTAAAATAATGAAGATCGGTGTCTTCATCTTCTCACGCTTTTGCAAGCCTAAGTCGATGAGTTCAAGGCAATTATGGGTTTTCTCTTTACTTTTCTCTCTACTTTTCTCTCTCTCTCTTTTCTCTCTACTTTTCTCTCTCTCTCTCTCTCTTTTCAGGGATACAGTTCAAGTTTAATGGACGAGTGGAATTTGGTGAAGAATATCATGACATTTTGGTACCTAAATAGCTCCACTTTCTTTTTTTTTTTTTTTTTTTTTTTTTTTGTGGCTTGAATGAATAGTTTCCACTCTAGTGCTGATTAGATAGGTCATGGTGGGGGCAATCGGCAATAATGCTATTATTTTTATTGGTAAAGTCTTGTGGACCAATTTTATGAAGCCACAATTTCTTCCAGAAATGCCACTCCGTTCAGATATAGAAGGGATTTGGATACCTGTTTAAGGTCATAAGAAACTAGAGCATAATTAAGTGGGTCAAGCCTAGCTCTCGCTTCGCGACGGACCACATGGTAAAGTGTCGCTATATTACAAGTCGGCTGATGAAGTTCGATTATTATTGATTCATATATACCGTTATAAATCCATGTCAAAGCTCGGAGATTTTCCCGGGCTCTCTTTTGTACGTTGTCACAACCTTGAAAAAAAAAATTGCATACTCTTGTATGTATAAGTTCGAATTATGATTATGCTATAACCGTTATCATTACGTTTTGTTTGTTGTCCTGTGAATTATATATTATCAATATTATTTGTCGTCCTTTTATGTCCTGGGAATTAATGATATCATGATAATGTGTCATCTGAGGCCTACCATCTTTTGTGCAACCGATCTACGTATTTCTTTTCATCCCACTCCTAAATCTTTTTGCAAATATATGCGATTAATGATTCATGCCTATGAGTGGGTTCACCGCATGATTTTGGGGGTCCATTTTGGAAGAATCATATCTAAGATTCTATTGGCTTCCTTACTATCGGACCTCAATTAGTAGGGATAATTTTGCCAATTTTGTTGCACTAGAAATGTTACTTTACGAGTCATAAATAATTAATCTGCGATTTAAAACTTCATTGCCACTTTGAAACTCAGTGCTAGATTATTTAAACGCGTCGTATTGCAATAATATGAATTAAATTTGTAAATGTGGAGTGGTTTAGGGGCAGCTTCTCGTGTCGCTAATTGGTGACGCTCATTCTTCAAAATTATTTAGTTGAGAAACAAGGGAACTTGAAGATGACATTCTATCATTGCGTTTAACGAGGAGCAATTGAAATTTCAAAAGAGAAGAAACGGGAAACTTGGAAGCAACACAGACGAAATAACCAACTTGCCTAGTAGGTTTTTTTTTTTTTATTTTTTTTATTTTTTTATTTTTGGGATAAAAAACTTGATTGGTAGTTGCTTTTGTAACTGACTCAGATAATTTATGGCAAGGATAGTAGAAACATTGCAAATCTCAGTGATTTATAGCATATTTTTAATCTTTTTTTTTTTCTTGATTTGGATTTTTAGTCTAGTCGCTTTCTTCCAACAACCCACCCATACAAATAGTAAAAATCCCGTATAGTTTTTGGTTGAAGTCCCTAAAATTTTCATCACTCGTTAGAATGAAGGATAATCAGGCCAAATTTCCTCAACTCTAGCATTAGGCTTTATTCTGAAAACCAATTACAGAAGCTACCGTGCAGGCTTCATATTGATGGGAGAATTTGTACATTATCAATATGGTCGCAGAAGCAATTAAACCACAATTGTACATATTGCAAGTGAATGCCGAAAAATTAAAACAAAACGAGAGAGAGAGATAAGAAGGTGAACATATTATGTCATTTCGCGTCATTTCATAAATTAAAAAAAAAGCATCATTTAGAAAATAGGCATTATTGCTTAATCGTGACAGATTCCCAAGTTTTCGTCTTCTCCCAACTCTAACTACGATTAGCTGGAACTTGCCCCCACCACCAACATTAATGCCGACGAAACTTTGTTTATAACTCTCTATTTTCTTTTGCATACAAGAGGATTGTAAATGGCCCCATGGGAAATGAAAGACTTGGAAGCTCTAAGTCGGTATATTAAATTTGGTTTGCAGAGTTGATCAGTTGATAGTGACCAAATTTCAGCATTGGATCTATGGAGACTCAAGAGTCCAACAGACAAAATTAGCCCTTGATATGATTATATGACGCGAAAGATATAGATCACTTAGTTGAACGTCCAATAATGATGAAGTTGAGGATAAATAATTCGATGATATCATGATAGAAATATGTATATTTTTTAGTTTCTTATTGGGCCATTAGGTATGATTAGATGAGTTATCCTATCGTGTTTGTTTTTGTTAAATATATATCTTTAAGGAAAAAAAATGTATACTTTGTTAAAGAGGTGTGTACTTAAGACGAAATAAAAGCCGTCATTGATTCTATGAGAAATTTAAAGCAAAAGAATAATTAGTTATGTGGTTTTCAGGCCCTACTAAATTTCTTTATTATGATCAACCCCACTAGCACTTAACATTCCGCAGATCAATCAGAAAAAAAAAATGAATTGATTAATGAACTGCATTATTTAAAACGGTCTACATGCGCTCGAATGAGGATCTATTTTTAAGTTAGAAGAAGAAAAGTTTTTGTCTGCCATTTATTCTCTTTTCTATTTTTTAAAATAGAATAATAAGAACCATGTTGTCCAGCGAAGAGATCATCATAAATCAACTTCTTTGCTTATTGTCCATACGTATTAACATAGGTCCCATTGAGAATATGTTGGTTCATGAGGAAAATCAAGAGAATTACATTTTCCAGTTGTTTTTGTAGCACTTTTTTTTAAATATATATATATAATCGTTATTCTAATATTTATTCATGAGTATTATTATTTTAACCGTAAAATATTAATCTGTAAGTTGTTATAAATTAAATAATTGACTAGAAAAATTTATGACAATTAATGAAATTTAATTATTATCACGCCACATCATCAAGTTTTTATATTTAATGATAATTATTGATGGAAACATAAACATTAAAACTTAATAACAATCATTAATAGAAATATAATATATATATATATATATATTTTTTTTTTTCATGATTATGAATTTATGATGGGCAGCTTATATGTCGTTTTCTGAAACACAAATGAGTCTCAAATTATTTGGGGGGTTTGTAAGAAAGTCAGTTCTTATTTGATGGGGTCTCAAACATTTTCTGATTATAATTGATTTGATCATTTATAGAAATAAGTTAAATTTGTGTTCCTCAATTTTTAGAGGCGTGTGAATCCAAATATGATATATTACAAGCCAGCGGAGGTTTATATGTACAAGCCATGAAGCCAATACGGAGCACGCTTAAACTTGGGACAAAACCAGCTGTACTGATAACTACGTAATATGGTTCATTATCATCAAATAAATATATGTGGCCCGAGCGCAACGCAAGCAAACAAGATATGATTGAATGCTTTTACCTTAAAACAGCTAGATTTAATTAAGATATATTAGTTGGTAATTAGGCAAGTCGACATGGATAGTCCTGTCACTTATCGTTAGTTGCTATCTTATTTGACGTCGTACGTTCAAATATTGTTTTTGTCAAATCATTTAATCAACTTTACCAAAGGAAAGAACTTTAACTAAGAAAGCAATGTTCCGAAGGAAACACATCAACTCGGTTAATCTATTGAGAAGACATTGAAACGACATACAAAGTGGGTTTTTTATTTATTTTTATTTTTTTTCGAGTGGTACACACTTTGCCATGTTACACAAGACAACCATCGGATGGAACAAAACATCAGGTCTTCCCACTGGTAATGAGCATTTAATTGAAAAAAAAAAATGCTTATAGTGACCAACTAAAAGCAATTGGACTTCCAACAATGTGTTTGCCATCTGACCATTCCAAGCGACCAAAATGTTTTGTACCCCATTGCAAAGTACTAGCAACAAACGTGACAGTGTAAGTCTTCTTCTCATATGCCTTCTTGAAACTCAATGATTTTGGTTTGACCAAAATCTTCACTGAGTCAATCTTTGATACTGAGACTTCATACTTTGCTGGGGCACCAACGTTTGTGAGAGTTCTAGTGTATGTCATAGTTTGTGACACATTCTTAGTAGCTCCAACCTCTTCCTCCGATTCTGCTTTAAAAGGAACAGCAAAAGATGGGTAGTTAAGATCTCCCACGCTGTATTTCTTTGTCGAATTGCACGTGAAATCTCTCTTAGTGACCGTCTTAATCTGCTCCGGAGCATAATCCAAGGCACACAGGAAGTTTATGTAGTCTTCAACAGTAGCATCATAGACTAGTCCAGGGTCAAGGGCTGCCACTGGATCCACATGCCCAGCTCCGAAATCGAATGGTGTCGCGGCTCTTGCCGTAACAACGTCTTCTATGGTTTTGCCATTTTTATAGGTTGAGTAGGCGGTTGTCATAAGGGACGACCTAATAGCAGCAGGGCTCCATTTTGGATGCGCAGCCTTGAGAAGAGCTGCAAGGCCGCTCACGTGTGGGCAAGACATTGACGTGCCTGAAATAATGTTGAAGTTCACCCGCCTCTTGTCGAGGCTCAATCCACTCGGCCCAACTGCGCCTGTCCACCCGGCCAGGATGTTCACTCCTGGGGCTATAAGGTCGGGTTTGAGTATCTCTGGAGTGCGTCGATTTGGGCCGCGAGAGCGGAAAGATGCAACTATTGGCGACGGTTGAACGCCCAACTTTGTAGCTCCTTGGATGATTGTAGCTGTTGGATTAGCCACGGAATCCACATATCTCCGTATCTCAAGCCCTTTTTCTAGGCTCACAAATGCTGCGGGCAAGAGATGGGCATCGGCGACTAGCTCTTCCCCATGGGAATCGTCGTCTCTAGTATAAATCATGCCAATGCCACCAGCGTCTTTCACAACCAGACCCGCTTGAACTCTACCGTTTCTTCCATGAAAGCATATCACTATTTTCCCCTTAGTCTTTTTCGGAATCAAACTGCCGGGCAGGCAAAAAGCCCCATCCGAGTCGTTACTTACGCTAGCACCGTAAACAATCGGAACCAACACCTTGTCTGATAATTGTTTTCCTTTGTAAAGGGAAACGCCTTTGTACTCTTGTCCGTTTCCAAGCTTAACATAAGCTGGGAAATCACGGTCAATTGTCCCGGCGCCCACCGTGGTTATCCACGGCGCAGCATTGAACACTGTTCCATGGTACGGTCCACTGTTTCCGGCCGAGGCGGATACTAGTATTCCCCGTGCAGTGGCGGCAAAAGTAGCAATGGCTAGAATATCTGAGTGGTATTCAGTACCGGAGCCACCGCCAAGCGACATGGATAGGATGTGGACACCATCCGCAATGGCCTTATCAAAGCCTGCGATTAGATCGGAGTCGAAACATCCCTTGAGCCAGCATACCTTGTAGGTGGCGACTCGGGCCGTGGGAGCCATTCCACGCGCCGTCCCGGAAGCGTAGCCCAAGACGCTCGCACTCGAAACATGGGACCCTGCTGCGGTCGTCGAGGTGTGAGTTCCGTGGCCATCGTCATCTCTCGGGGATTTCGATTCCACTTTCTCATCAATCCTTCCCGCCTCTTTCTCGTACCCTTTGTAGAAAGACCTCGCCCCGATCAGCTTTCTGTTGCAGCTCGAGGAGTTGAAGTTCTTCCCCGCCTCGCACTTTCCTTTCCAGCTTTTCGGCACCGGACCAAGACCCTTGTCGTCGTAGCTTTCGATCTCGGGCCAAACTCCGGTGTCCAAAACACCGATGATGACATCGCTGGCTTTATCCGACGCAGCGATGAGCGAGTAGCTCTCTTTGAGTCCGAGAAAGTCCGGAGTTCGAGTTGTGTGAAGCTCGTACCTGGTTTCGGGTATTACAGAAACAACACCGGGTTGGTTGTTGAGCAAATGGGCTTCTTCTTCAGTGATCCTCGTAGAAAAGCCGTGAATTACATTGTCGTAGGTGTAAAGCATTTCAGCTGAGTCGGACACCGATTTCAAAGATGAGTCGTACCAGTTTACGTGATCGTCGAAAACTGCTGGCTTGTTGGACTTGTCCATGTGGATAATGTAAGTCCTTTTCGGTCGTTGTTGACTGATCTCATGATCGGTTCCTGCTAAGTGAAAATGGAAGAGATTTAGCAGCACAAATGATTGTACAAGTATGAAGAGAAATATCTTCATCTTCTCACTTCATACGCAAGCTTTAAGTAGAGACTTAATGGAGAATTTTGGGCACTATTCGGTGGGATTTTCCTCTTGAGTATGCATTTTTTGCTCTCAATAGAAAATCAAAATGCAATTGTAGTAAAGATTGAACCGGAGAAGATTCTATTTATCCAAGTTTGCTGCTATAACGGAATCTATCTATGGGAGTGAGAATTTTAAAAGATAAGGTGGGACAATTGGTAGTCCAGGCGCCTTTGGAGATGACAGCCTGCCAAAATATTGAGTAAAGAAGTGAGAAGATAGCGAATGCAATAACTAATTTCCTCCTTTAAAAGAAAAAAATTGCAAGTTGACGCTTGACGGCGAATAAAATAATAGCAAGTTGTACTTCTTACTTGTTTATTTGTTGTCTATTCCAACAACCCATGCACATATATGATTACAGTAGTGCTATGATTAAAGGTTTTTAGAGGAACTCTCACTAATTTTAACACTCATTTGAATGAAGGATATATTAATTGATGCATCTGGGACTATAATTGAGTTTATTGGAATAAGTTAATGGGCGGTTTGAGAGGTATATTTAAATTTATAATTTATAATTTTAATGTTTGAAATTTAAATTTTATGTAGAGTTACACTGTAACAGAATTAATGATTTAGATTTGAGTATATAAACAAACGACCCATTAAATATTCTTAGTGTAGATTACTCGAATATGAGCACATGACATGAATGAGTGATGAGAAGTTGTGGGGTGCAACTAGGGCTGACAATCCGGGTAGCGACACGATTCAAAACCCGCACGAAGTTCATTAGTTTAAACAATTACCTAATTAAACATATTGGTGTGCAGTATTTCTATGGGAACAATCAAATAAATTGGATAAGAGTTA